AAAGATTGGATCTTTCAGAACCTTGCTAACCCTACACAATATGTGGCGAATGGGGAATCATGGGATACACTCTTTGGAGCAATCATGTGGTTCATTGGAAGTATAGTAACAAACGGATATTTGATCCAGAAGCCATAGAGAGGGAATCGGTTTTGGAACACAACAATCGGTTAGTCACATAATCAACCATAGCCAGAGCAACAAACAAAGAAATGTAAAGGTTATTCGGATAGGACACAAGCGAGGTAGACACCACCCCTACTTGGCTGGTTTAAGTTAAACACAGATGAAGCCTTCAGATAACTCAAACGGACAAACTTCTTGTGGGGGAATGTTGAGAGATGATAAAGGACATTGGCAATGAGGATTCCACAAAATGATTGGCTCATGTTCAGTCCTAGAGGTCGAATACTGAGGGGTGTTTGAAGGTTTAAAAAGAGCATGGGAGCAAGGAACCAGGAAGCTGATTCTCGAGGTAGATAATAAAGAGGTATGGATGAATATCCACAGGAAGGAGAATAAGAAGTTGGATCTCTCGACAGGGCAACATGTCCAAAAGATGCTAGAAAATGAATTGGAAATCAAGGTCAATCATGTTCATCGGAAAGGAAACAGATTAGCAGACTGTATGGCAAAACGAAAACAATTTCAATGGGGAAGAATTCAAATCTTCACATCAGTTCCTGAAGAAGTCACTTGGTAGAGGCAGAAGAATGTATTTTAGACGAAATTAGTTAGATTAGTTGTTCGTTTTATTTCCTTGCTTATCGAAAAAATTGCATATGAAACTTAATCAGAATCTCTAATCATATTATCTATATGAAAAAAAATAAAAATCTGGTGTCAACAACTTTGTAGTGATATTTATGTTAACCAAATCATAATAAATATGAAAATAAACCATGATCAAATCATACAAAATCATCAGAACAAGAAATATTAGATTTGTGAAACGTACCTGAATTAATTGATAGGTTGAAATCTTCGAGTTTTTCGATTGTGATCTTCCAAGAATATAGGTTTGTTCTTGCCATAAAAACTCTTTGACGGGATAAGAGTAATACAAGTTAATCTATTTCTTGGGGACCATTACCTATTTATATAGATTGACTATTAGGTCAATCTATTAAGTATTTATTTTGCCCCTCATTTTATTATAAATATAACTTACGATATCTACACTTTAATTCCATGACACTTTAGTACCCATGACGCATATAACATAATTGGTCACTTAATTTTGTGTCATACTTTATGATAACATTATACATATGTGCCCACTTTATATGGATTTTAATCCAACAATCTCTCACTAGGGCAACATATGTTTCCTGTTAAATGTACAACCTTAAGATTTTTCAATGCCAAATATATATTCCATATCCATAATAGTCAAAAACCAAAATTGATTTTTCTAATCACGTCATGGTTTCTAAAATAATTCATAATAAGATTATCTAAATGATGTTATTAGAAACCAAAAATCTAAATATTTAACTACTTCTCAAGAATTTCATAATTATGGATTCACCAAATCAAATTAAAACATGATTCAATAAACCAAAACCAAATATGTATATTCAATCTTGTAAGACACTAATAAAGATGACAATACCCAAGCATTCAACTTGGATCAAGCATACTTCTAATGTCTCGTAATTTTTAAGAAATTTAAAAAAAAAAACATAGTTTACATCAAAGCACTGCATACATAATGAACTTTTTTAACACACTAATATGGTCCAATATAAAAGTGAATGTGACACTTTCATCAATTAAAAAAGGGTAAAGTATAGAAATGGTCATTGAACTTTTCTAAAGATTTCATTTAGGTCCCCCAACTTTTAAAACTTACAATACAGTCTCCCAACATTTAGTCCGTTTGCAATATGATCCCCAACATTTAATCTGTTTACAATATGGTCCCCAACCGTTTGACGCCGTTACACTGTTATTAGTTCGTTATCAATATGATCACTGAACTTTTCAGGCACTTGCATTTAGGTCCCCCAACTTTTAAAACTTGTAACACATTCTTAAATTTCATTCTAAACCCTAAATTCCTTTTCGATCTCGAATTTCCTTTTTCGTTTCTCTCTTCTCATTTCTAGCGTAACTTTTCAGTTGGGGATGCATGGGAAATTCTAATCTAACTTTGAATTATGTGGAGGTATTGACTTGAATTATGTGGAGGTGTTGACTTGAATTATGTGGAGGTGTTGACTTGAATAAGGGTCCATTGAGAGAAGACCCGACCAAGGGACTATCGGGACCATCAACGATTCAAGGTGTAATGCTAGATACATGTCATCTCAGGTGAAGCATAGATGTTCGGTGAAATGTTTGTGAGAAAAAAATGGGGTTAGAAATACAGAGTTGACAAATACTACTAAGATGAAGTAAGTATCATTGTTGAAAGTCACTAACAAAGCTGGAATTATTTTGTATAAATGACATATAATAATTTATTCGTTTAATCCTTATGCTTAAAGATTTCCAATAGATGATCAAATATAATGAAATCCCAAATAGTGCATTCACCTCTCGTTTGGTTTTTGTTCTTCAATTTTCCGCCATGTAAAATTGTAAACCCAAGCAGTGCTCTGTCTTTCAGCTTTTTATTTACAAAGAAAAAAATGGAGGAAGAATTGCTTGAACGCAAAACCGATTGCATTTATTTATTAGCCTCTCCCCTCACTTGCAAGAATGTATTTATTTTCTCTTTTAGGCTATCCGGAAGTAAGCTTTTCCTCTTTCGCACTTTCTCATTTTCAGCTCGCATTGTGTGTTTTTTTGTTGAAATTTTTATGTTTCTGGAACTGCATGTCAATGATCTGGATATTCAGTGTTAGTCTTGAACCAAAACCATCTAATTTTCTTTCTTTCTTCTTAATCAAAACTTTAGTACTCCTTATGAAAGATATTCAGTCCATCAGAATAGAAGTGAAATAGGGTCCTAGGGTAAATATTTTGATCTTCTTGTTAGGTTTTCTTACATCAGGGAATTGGTTGTGAGTATCGACATAGTGAAATCTCCAGGCTCGATCCAAGAGACTGTTGGTACTTGTTTACTGGGAATTGTATTGATCCGACCTATAGTTTTCGGCGTCCTATGAGCTCGTATTCTTTTTAATAAGTTCATGTTGATTATGGAACTGATATATCGTGAACGAATTAAATTTTTTTACATGTTTTGGAAATTTTACAGTTGAATTGTATTGAATTATGGCTTTAGAAGATAATTCTACATGCACGCAACTCGAAAGGCATCATGACAACATACTATATTTGGAGCAACTACTTGACCCTGTCATAATGTCTTTCGAGTTACGAAAGAGACTGAGAGGTGAATGCACTATTTGGGATTTCATTATATTTGATCATCTATTGGAAAATCTTTAAGCATAGGGATTAAACGAAGAAATTATTATATGTCATTTATACAAAATAATTCCAGTTTTATTGGCGACTTTCAACAATGATATTTACTTCACCTTAGTAGTATTTGTCAACTCTGCATTTCTAACCCCATTTTTTTCTCACAAGCATTTCATCAAACATCTATGCTTCACCTGAGATGACATATATATCTAACATTACACCTTGAATCGTTGATAGTCCCGATAATCCCTTGGTCGTGTCTTCTCTCAATGGACCCTTATTCAAGTCAACACCCCCACATAATTCAAAGTTAGATTAGAATTTCTCATGCATCCCCGACTAAAAAGTTGTGCTGGAAATGAGAAGATAAAAGCGAAAAAGGAAATTCGAGATTGAAAAGGAATTTGGGGTTTAAAATGAAATTTAGGATTGTGTTCCAAGTTTTAAAAGTTAGGGGACCTAAATACAAGTGCCTGAAAAGTTTAGTGACCATATTGAAAATGTACTAATGGCAGTGTAACGGCATCAAACGGTCAGAGACCATATTGCAAACAGACTAAATATTGGGGGACTATATTGCAAACGGACTAAATGTTGGGAGACTGTATTGCAAGTTTTAAAAGTTGGGGGACCTAAATGAAAGCTTTAGAAAAGTTCAGTGACCATTACTATACTTTACCCATAAAAAATTCAACAAGGTAAATGAAGTCGAATCCAATCCATTAACAACAAAGGAAAAAACGTATTTGAAGAATTGCTATTAAGGCACTCAATTCAAGATCAGGGAACACAATTAATTTCTCAACAATTACAATATAATAACCGATTGAATATCACGACAACCAATCAAATAGAAAAAGAAAACATATGAAAATTTTAATCTCTTGACCATAAATATTAAACTCAATTGATTCTTAATGATTCAACATAATTTGGTGATGACACCACTAGTTAGAATAAAATAAAATAATAAAAATACGAAAATAAACGAAGATCAAATCATAGATTTGCGGAAGCGTACTTGAATTAATTGATAAATAGAAATATTTGAGTCTTTCTTTGGTTGTGATAGGGTTTGCTCTTGTCGTAAAAACTCTCTGACGGGATAAAAGTAATACAAGTTAACCTATTTCTTGGAACCACTACCTATTTCTATAGATCGAATATTAAGTCAATCTATTAAGTATTTATAATTCTGCCCTCATCGAACTATAAATACAAATTAAGATATCTACACTTTAATTTCATGACACTTTAGTACCCACGACACATATAACATAAATGGTCACTTAATTTTGTATCATTCTTTATGATAACATTATACATTATACATTTGTGTACATTGATATGGATTTTAATCCAACAATTTATTCCTACATTCGTGTGTGTATATAATGAGTCGACCAATGAAAAAGTGGGGGAAATAGAGGAAAAAGTATAGTTCCTCGTGTAAAAAGAGATAAAAACAAAAGTAGAGGAAAAAAGAGAAAGTACCCATTGTGGGGCCTATTATACTTATGTTGATCAATCATCAATATTCGCTAGTTTCAGAATGCCGCCAAAGAAGCTTGTATATAAGCTCCTCGGCTCTCCCACTTCACAACTCCCCTTCCCTTTCTTCTCTGCTCATTTTCGTCTCGCCTTTGTTCTCCCTCAGACATAACACAAACACTTACGTTTCTCATTAAAAAAAAAAACCAGCATGGGAGGACCTCAACAGCGATTCCGTGGCGTTCGCCAAAGACATTGGGGTTCTTGGGTCTCTGAAATTCGACACCCCATCTTGTACTTTCCTCTAAACTGTTTTTTCTTTCTCTACTTTTTGATTATTTTCACATTCTTTCCTTAATGAGAAAACCGTGTCTTGTGTGTTTGCAGGAAGACTAGAATATGGCTAGGAACATTTGAAACGGCAGAGGATGCAGCAAGAGCGTATGACGAGGCGGCAAGGCTTATGTGCGGGGCCAAAGCACGAACCAATTTCCCATACAATCCCAATAACACCCAATATTCTTCATCAACGCTTCTCTCGGCTACCTTGGCAGCTAAGTTACATAAATGTCACATGGCAGCACTGCAGCTGGCAAAGAAAAATGCAGCAAAAGACTCTTATGCAACAACACAATGTCAAACTTCGGCTGTTCCCGGAAGCAATATTGAAGGAACCGATTGCTGGCGGCATCCGGAGAATAATTGGGAAGGAAACGAAGAAAGTCAAGTTGGGAGTGAAGAACAGTTCATCCCACTGGAAGATGATGATGTAGAGCAGATGATAGAGGAATTGCTTCATTATGGATCTATTGAACTTTGTCCTGTAGGTTCAACCTTTGTCTAAAATGCAAGCATTTCCCATACGTGTTAATGGAATTGCTTCTTTTTTATTTATTTATTTCCTATTTATTAGGGGATTAGATTTGATATATGCTACATATGCAATGGTTGATTTGCATGAAGTAGTGTGAATACATTAATGGAATAAAGCCCGAGTATAATTCTTTGGGAAGTAAAGAATAGTTCTTTTAAATTAAATCTATGTTTTTTATAATGAAAAGTACTGATAAAATTATTTTAATCTAACCTTTATTTTGATTAATTTTTTAAATAACGTTCATTTATTGATCATAATTATACATCACATTAGTCAAAGATAAATCAAACGAGTGTTGTATTGCGGTCACACTTCTCAAAAGTTTTAAATTCTCCCATAATTTAAATATTTTTTGTATTTTTCATTAATGATATAATTTAACATCATTAAATTTTTAATATAACTTTTTAATTTCACACCCAACATAAAATACTACATTCGTCGACGTTTTTCCTAAAAAATCACCGGTGATCGGTATATTTACCGATCATATTATATTTCCCGATCTAACACCCGTAGCATTAAAGCGCACTCCCTGTATCACACTATACGCTGACATGGCTTACACGTGGGTATAGCACGGCCCCTGATCCGCGCTATACGCCACGTAGGGGTATAGCGCTGCCCCTGCTCAACGCTATACCTGGGTTTGAATTATATTTAGCGCGGACCCTAGTCCACGTTATACCTTTATCTGAATAATTACATATAGCGCGGTGCAGGTACCGTGCCTTATATGGTTATAAATACCCTTCGCTCCCGTTAAATTTCTTACATCTCCTCACATCTCTCTCCTCTAACTTATAAATTAATACAACAATTCCGTCAACGAGTAATAATTTTGGTAATTTTCTCATATTTGATTTAGAAGTTCGTGCGATTTTTCGTTATAAATTTTATTATAAATTTTTTTTATTATACTTAGTGTTTATTATGATTATTTGAAAAAAAATATTATACTAATTATTTTCAATTAATTTTTATGTTTGTAAAATTGAAAAGCAGGAGCATACGTAAAAATAGTTTTTCGGTACAGGTAATAATATAAAATTATATTATTTAAATTATTTACGTTGATGTGTAAAAAATTTATTGTGTTATATTTTCGTTCATATATAATTTATTTAATCAGGTTTATTTCAGTTATTTTTTTTTGCAGATATAATATTGTCGCACTTTTAAACTCAAAGAATGACGTGACTTTCAGCTATTGTTTATTATGATGGTGAAATTCGAGAATATGAAACCGGCGTTGTTTTCGTATCAAATGAGCGTGTTAAAATATCATTAAAGAGAAACATAACTCTTGAGGAGCTGATAACGAAGATTTCGAGGAAGATTCATATTGGAAGTAGTAGAAGAATGTCGTCGTTGCAGTACAGATTTCCAACATCATTGTTGCCATTAACTTATATAACGTTTGAACTTTCGAACAATGATAATGTTCAAATGATGATTGAAGCTCAAAGTAATTATTCAGACACCGCTATTGAGATGTATGCACATTTTGTTCAAGTGCGTGCTATTCGGGGTCAATCTTTAAGCTCCCACTATGGGCTGGCTGAACAAGTTGATCAAGTTGACAGCCCGACTATAGTAATGTGTAATGATTTTAATGTCATAATGGGGAGACATTCATCCGCAACTCCTTATGATATGTACTGAGGTGGGTCCACGAACAATCTGTATGGCAACACCGCGTCCAGTTCAAGGGGAAGGCATTCATCTGCAAATTTCTTTGACCATATGGAGATGCCATCGACGCAACCATCTGTGCAGTTTCCATTTGACACGATGGCTTCAAGCTCCAGGGGGAGGCATTCGACTGCGAGCTTTTTCGATCTCAATGTCGATATGCCTTCCAGTTCAAGGGGAAGGCGTGCAAGTAGTAGGTTCTTCGACCTAAATGTGGAGAGCATGGATGAACTATCATCCCCACCAGAAGAACCGCTTCGTGAGCCTGGTGCGGATGGTGCTGAGACTGGACTATTCATTCACACAGAATCACCGCAATTCAACTCCGATGATGATGAAGTTCCAGGAAATGTGGCACAAACTGACCCTCTTGCACACATGTATGAAGCTGATTATGGTGCAATGTATAGGCCAGAATTTGCGGATATGCATCATCTCGGTGACTATGGATATTACTCATCAATAAATAATGGTGAGTTATATTTAGGCATGGAGTTTTCAAGCAAAGAAGAAGTGGTGATGGCTATAACAAATTATAATATCCGTAATTCTGTTCAGTCCAGAGTATTAAATAAAGTAAAATGCTTAAATAAATTAAATACATAATATTAAAAATATTATAAAACATACCTTAAATAGAGATAGTATTTGAGAATATTTGAGAGAATATGGTGTGATGAAAGTAATAGAGGATGTGGTATTTATAGGGAGGATTGGGGGGTAATTAAAGGTATAGCGCGCCCTCTGTACCGAACTATACCCCACGTGTCAGATAAACAGTTATAGCACGGATTAGGGGCCGTGTTATACCCACGTGTAAGTCATATCAGCGTATAACGCGGTATAGGGGGCACGCTATACCCCACGTGGCGCCAAATCAGCATATAGAGAGCGGGGCAGGGAGCGCGCTTTACTACTACGGGTGTTAGATCGGGAAATATAATCTGACCGGTGTTAGATCGATAAATATACCGATCACCGGTGATTTTTCGGAAAAAACACCACATTCGTCTCTAATATAAATCATATTTTTAAAAACAGATATAGTGAAATCATTTCTGTTTTACATAAAATATCCTGTAAATTAATATGTTTTATTAAAAAATTAAACATAAATGAATTTTAATTAAAATTTTTAAAGTATTTTATAATAGAAAAAGACGGAGTTTTTATTATTTTATAGTATTTTAGTTTATTAATCCAGAATCATCAATACCTTGATTAGAGGTTGAGTATGAAATTCTACTAACAATTTTTTTTTATAAATTAAATTTATTTAATCTTTTTAATCATTGACTAAAATTAAATAATTAATTGGCTAAAATAAGCTTATTAATTTCCATTGTGGAATATATTTTCTACGTCCATTTAAGCTAAGATTAATAATCGAGATTATTTATGACTCTAAATATTTTTTTAATTATTTTTTAAATACAATAAAAATGATTGCCTTCGTTTTTATTAATCTACTCATGCTCAATGATAAATCATGGGACTTATTTTTATCACCCCAAACATTTTTTAAAATTATTATTTTTAATTGTTTTACAAATTTAAAAGTACAATACATATGTACAATATTGATGATTACATTTTTTTAATCTTTTAAAAAGAATAGTTCTTTTAAGATAAATATCTGTCTCTATCCGATTGAACATAAATATGATGAGATAATATATTAAGCAATGATCGAGAAAAACCAAATCTTGATTTAATATCAGATATTAACGGTCGAATAATTTACATCACATGATTAATTTTTTAATTATTTATAAATTTTATAAATATTTCAAGAATATTTAAAATAAAAAATATTATAAAACGTATATAATATAATGAAAATAATTTTATAAATTTTCATATAAATAATTTTAGTTTAACATTAGCCGTTAAAATATCAGAAAATATATCATAAGAATAATTTTATAAAATTTAGATATTATAATATTGGTAATAATGTGTCAAATAATGTTATATTATGATAATGGTCAATTACACCATTCCTCATTGAATTTTATTTTTTCTCCTATTTTACTAGTCCTATTTTCAATTATTCTATTTTACTCACTGAACTTTGAGACCGAACCACCACCATCAACGATGGTAGACTGGAATGAAAAATAACATGGTGACCGGCGGTTACAATCGATCACCTTATTTACAAAATAGAGAGAAAAAATGGGAGGAAAGAAGAGGATTTGAAACACTTCATTTTGGTGTATATTTGAGTTTTTCAAAACGATGTCGTTTTGATGCTTGTGTCATGTTATAACACCGTGAAAAAGTTAATCACAAAGTGAGAAAAATAATTTAATCTATAAAATTCAGTGAGCAAAATAGAAAAACTGAAAGTGCAATAAATAAAATAGGAGAAAGTGTGAAGTTTAATGATCAACGGTATGATTTATCATTATAATAAATAATTCTCTCTTAGATATTCCGAGAAACTAAATGCTCCGACCGATTAGAATGTTTCTAGCTAATAAGACTTTTTTTTTTTGTTAAAAACTTAAATATATTTAATTATTTAAATAAAAAATAAGTGTAAGAAAATCTTAAAAAAATCACTTAGTTTTTACACGCGTGATAAAGACGGAGAAAATAAATTCAGTTAAAAAATATTTAGAATAAAAAGATTATTTTAATTTTTAATTTTTTTTCTTTCCAAAAGAATGTAAAGATAATTTGTCCTATACAAAGATCCATTCACCGCATGATTGATGGCATGCAACGCCCCCTTTTGCGTTACGATTTCTACAACGAAAGAGAATCGCGCTCCATCGATCGTTTAGTTTTCGGGTTATTTTTAGGGTACACTGGATTCGTATATATATTTACTCCAACTCTCACTTAATCATTCAAGCTGTGTGATTTGTCAAACAAGTTCAGTATTTTACTAACAAACAAAATCCAAATCCAAAAAAAAAAAAAACAACAATTCTTTTGGAAGAGAAAGAGTCATTAAAAAAGCTTTAAATAAGACTCCAAGTTAGTAGCTTTGTTTTGATATAACACTAACTGATTCACTGTGAAAACAAGAGCCAAAAAAAAAGATGGTGGACATAGACGACTCTTTGCAGGAAATCAAGAACGAGAATGTCGATCTTGTAAGGAAATATATATATTTGGGAGTATTTGCAAACACAGGATTGTTTGATGGTTTTGTGTGTGGTTGTAGGAGCGAATTCCCGTTCAAGAAGTGTTTGAGCAGTTGAATTGAACCAAGGAAGGCTTGATCACCGAGGAAGGACTGAAGAGACTGCAAATCCTTGGCACGAACAAACTCGAAGAGAAGAGAAAGAGTGTAAGTT